TCCACTAATTCGATTTATTTTCAGGCATGTATTTCTATGTATTTTGGTTGGAAATCTCATCCAGTTCAACCAACCTGGAATTGTACCGAATTAATTGCCTCTGTTTACCAGTGACTTAACAGCTAGCCCCACTGCGGTGTCTTCTAAAATTAGCAGTAACATTAGCACATAATTTAATTGTTAACTGTTAATTGTTAACTGTTAATTGTTCATTAACAGTAGGTTAAGTTTGCATTTTGATCTGTAGCCAAACAGGGGTCGGCAACCCAAATGTTGACAAGAGCCACTTTGTCCTTTCAACAAAAATCGAACCACCTTGGGAGCCACAACATTTTATGTCCATTTTACCATCTTGGCTGTAGATATGTCTCAGTATGTGCTGATGTCCTAGTACAGGCTAAAAATAGAATATATAAATGAAAACACTCAGCTTTAAGCTTTAGCTCAGCTATAGCCGCTTTTCTCGCATCTCCGGCAGGAAACTTTTCCTCAAAAGTGGAGCAGTTTTTTTGTAAAATGTCTCTCAATGTTTGACATTCAGCGTACAGAGAATGGAATCAGTTTATCATTCTCCAGCTTCTTGTTTGAATTTTCCCATTCTACCTTAAATGGTTCCTGAAGCGCCAGAATGTAACTGTTGCACCATTTAAGGTGGAACGGAAAAATTGGAACAAGAAGCTGGCGAACGAGAAGCTGACTTCAGCCTCGTGACTTTGTAGTGTTTGACAGTTTCTCGTAGTAGATTCAACATCCATTCGTCTCTTAAATCTCTCTCTTTGCCTTTTCGGTAGCTACTAGCTAGTCGAGATTCTTGTCTGCGTTGCTAGGGTGACCAGCAGTCTGTGCACCAACCTTCAGGGTTAAAGAGTGAATTAGCAGTTCTACATTAACTCCGTTTAAGACCATTTATTGGTAAAACTGTGTTGAACGATCAGCAGAGCTTTATTTTACTGCAAAGGAGGATCATTTTATTTTTACCTACAAATCAAATTCATCTGTGGAGCTGCAACAGGGCAGTAAAAGAGCCACCCTCTATATTAAACATTACTAATATTGTTCAAGTATTTTAAAAATTGTGCAGCAGAAAACAGAATGTGTGAAATCTGTGCCTCACTCTGCCCTGCAGGAGAAACGTGCCTGATAACTGTTATCATGATAATCTGTAACTGATAATAGTGTGGTGATTATGGCATGCCTGCTCGAAATAGAAGGAGAGAAGATAGTCAGAAACTGCGGACTTACGTTTTATTTAGTATTAGTAATCTCCTACATGTAGCATCAGATTATGTCCTGATTTTTTATTTTTTACTGAAGGACATTGCAGGGCTGGCACTTAGCCAGACAGAGCCTGTTACTTCTGCTTCATCTGAAATCACAGGAAGCATGACCCAGACAGCCCGAAAGGGAGCCGAGTGTGTGTGTGTGTGTTCAGTGTTGACCATGGCATTACCCATAGAACACGACCCCAGAGATCAGGAGCTCAGTACAGTATATTAACTCACTGTCTGTGGGGTCGCAGTCTGCTCGGCTTGCTTGTTGCTCTACAGTTTGACCTTGAGTCCAGACGTGATTGCTGTTCGTTACAGTTTTGACCAGGCTAAAATCAGTCTTTAAAAGTACAGCTTGTACGACTGAACCGCTTCCTTTCACAAATCTGTGTGTAACCCCACTCTGTCCATAGCATGGTTCTAAATGTAGCTCAGAAAACATAACTAACTGACAGAAGAACCCATACATGCAGTCAGAACGCTGGTTAAACATTGGTAGCTCTGTCAGGAAGGCAGGCTTACAGACATTTCAGCTCTTATGACTTTCAGAAGCCCTTTTTGAGCTTATTGCACTGCAAAATCCAGAATTTTAGACAGAAATTTTGAAACGTTTTATAAGAAATGAATTTTGTTCAATCATACCGTCACTGTCATAAGAAAAACCCATATCTCCAAAACAGTAAGTTCTTAACTTTAATGCATGTTAAAGTAGCACTATGTATTTTTTTGTTAAAGTTGAAAGAAGTAATCCTACTGAGTCAAGTGGGAAAACAAACATGCGAAAATATGTCTAAAATAAAAGTTTTTTGGGCCACATCATGTGTCTTGTATTAGTGTTACACGCACAGGCTCACAAAGAAGGACCCATCTGGCTTAGGCCCACCCACTTTTATCACTGGCCCACCCAAAATGACTTTGTTCTATTTTCAGTATTAAAATCTAATGAATACATAACCAAAAATGGGAAAAAACTGAAAAAACACTTACTGAATATGTGACCTCCAAAGTAATATTTTTGACGTTGACCAGTGAAAATCCCATGTAAACAATAACTACTGTGACTGTGAGGCATTTGCTGGGCCTCAAACACCCAGCTCCAACTTTCGGAGCTGCATGTTAGCTCTGCTCGTCACTCTTGTACAAGAAGTAGGGGTTTATTGAGCACTGCATCAGCACTGATGCACTGACACTTTGGGGATAAATGCGGGGAGGTTTGAGTTTAAGGATTGGAAGCACATATGCACGGCCTGTTTGAGCATGAATGTAGCCAAACACGCCACATAGCATCACATAAGTAGAGTAACTACAGTTAATCAACTCAGGATATGGTGCTATCATCAACCAGTTCATTAACATTTACGTCATACTAGACTTACTACTACTAGAAATCGCCAGCGTGTTAAAGTTACGTTGGTCGTTATTGCTCCTGTGTGCAAAACAAGGTATGAGTTAAACATTTATAGTTTTATATTATCTGGTCGACTAGCAGGCCGGTGTCTCCTACTGCTACTACTGTTTTTTTCTACTGCGATGTGTGAATGACGCTTGGCAAGCAGCTCAGTTACGGCTTATACTTCACTTTTTGTAGCTTCCATACCTGAGATTTGGCCCATGTGTAAGTTTCTCATGCCCTAATAAAACGGCAGTCCTGCTGCTGCTGTTGGTGACTGCGTATTTCAGCTTTTTAGTATTTCATTTTCTCTCTAAATGCTTTGTGTTAATCTAGATTGCATAAGATTTAGATGCTGTGCTATATTGCTCTGCAGCTGCAGCCATTTTCATTTCATGTTTTTATTCTTCCACTTGTGTCTATTTGCGTGTATGTTTGTGAGAGAGTGAGAGTATCTGTCTTGCTTTTTTGGAGCCCTAGACCAGTTTTTTTTCCCAGTGTTTTTTTTTCTCATACTCAATCTTCGTTGTGTTCCAGTCCCTGAGGGCTTCAATAATAGTGGCTGTCTGAGCTTCTAGTTGTGCTGCAGAAGTTGTCAGAAGAAAAGAGAGTTCAACAAGAGAGAGAGAAGAGAGGAAGAGTGCAGAAAAAAAACAGAATGGAAGTAAAACGAGGAAGAGAAACAGTCGGTTCGTGGAAGTTTGGTTTTAGTCTTACTGCGTTAAGCATTTTCTGATGCATGTAGAATGACTACATGTACCTGATTTACATTTAAATCGAAGCTTCTTATTTCTTTCTGTAGAAATGACTGAACTTTTCATTGTAACCATGACGTTCTTCCCCCATGCCTCAAATGTAGCCGATTAGCCAAGACATGTTTGGTGTCTGAAGTTTGCTTCTTTAGTTTTTGCACTGGAGCTACAAAGTTACTGTGTCTACTCCGTATTGGAAGCATATCGCTGCTGTCGGAACGAAACCTTGTATCTCCATTCTTGCCGTTTTTGAGTTTTTAACATAGTTTGAAAATGCTCACTGCCCTTGATATTATGTGTAAATTTCACGATGAATGGACCAAAAGAAACGGCCCAAAATGACTTTGAGAAAACTCTGGTTCCATTGACTTACATTAAAAGTAAAGTAGGTTTTTTCCTTTTCTGTAAAGTTACCATTTTGGAGATACAAGGTTTCCTTTCGACAGCAGCGATATACACGCTAATTAGCATAATTTCTAATTCATACCCTCAAACAATGACGGGTTGTTAAATATTGTTAAATATACTTGATTGTGTGGTTTCCGACTCTTTGGCATGCTATTATTTACCGTGGCAAACTGTGACTTTTTGGCTAGGCCTTCAGCTTAGGCCAAAAAATGAGCAAAAAAATCGCTCTACAATTATGCTAATTTCTGCCTTTATTTACCCAGATACTAAACTAAAAAAAAATGAGCTAAAAATTACAAGCATGTATTTTTTTTGTTTCCAGAAATCATTAAGCCTTTTCTGAAGGCCTTGATGGTTCCCCACTGGATATCTGTAAAAATGGGACCTATTAAAAAATACAGCACAAAGCTAAAAACAGTAGTAGCGCCATCCTGGTGCCTGAATTCGTACTTTTGTTGATTTTGTCAATTTCTGGCAACCACTTCTTAACAACTCGAGATGTTCTTAGGCAGGTTTTAGCACAGTGCTAATTGGTGTACATAATCTAATCTTACTTGTTTGCAACATTAGCCTCTTGGCTCCTGTGCAAAACTAAAGAAACAGTATTCAGATAAAAAATGTATTGGCTGATTGGCTGACTATGAGGTGAAGGGGGAAAATTGTACATCTGTTTTTTTTCTCTGAACCTTTCCTTTAAGATCAGACACTGAAACTTTTGTGTTGTGAATAAACAAGGAGAAACAAAGTTGACACAAGGCCTTGAAACGAAAACAAACCACTGGATGAGTCCGTCTGAACCGCTCTCTGGGGTTCATGGTTATCTACCCTCTTCCTGCAGTAGTGCATTATTAGGACAGGAGAGAAACGCAGAGAGCTGAATTTAATAGAAGCTGGAAGGTGGTTTTGGTTTGATGGACAGAAAGTGCATACCCTATTATCAGTATTGACTTACTGACTGCTGTGGCTTTTCGTAATTTCTCCAGGCTTCCAGATCTTGAATCAGAGAAGTCCTCTGTCACTTAATAATGTCCCAAATCATCCCGTACTGAGATCCAATTCAGTCATGTTTAGAATATCACAAAGAAACCTCATTATGAATGACCTACTTTTATTGCTGTATGTACTGAGCTGTAATGGGTGAGTTTCATGCTTTGTTCACTCTTTGTCGTTTCTCTTTTCCAGTATGCCTTTAATGACCTGAGCGGCTCTGTGTCTCTTGCCTGGGTTGGAGATGGAACAGGGGTGAGTGTCCCCATTGCTACCACATATGAAAATGAAATATGTTGTTAAAAATGTTGAAATAGTGATGAAATTGGTTTTTTTTGTTGTTGTTTTTTTGTCAGACTCTTAACTATAAGACCTAAAAATTCTGCACATTGCATGCAATTACACATTTCCACCAGATTAGCCAAAGAACTGTATAAATCATTTAGATTAGAAACCACTGAACAGTGATATCCCACATTGCTAATAAGGGCCTTCACAGCTTTTTCAGTCAAAATAATGCTGCTTAACCCCTTAAAACCCCAGGCTTATTACACTCTAAGGCTTATTATTCAGTAACTACATGGAATTCAGTGCAAACTGGCTGAGCTACACTCTTAAAAAAGATGGTTCTTCAGTAAAGAAAATGGTTCTATGTAGAACCATGAACTCTCAAAAAACCCTTTGCCTGATTAAAAGGTTCTTTGCAGTGTGAAGGAGTTCTTCAGATTAATGGAGAATGTGCTGTGTAGGGTTCTATATAGCACCGAAAAGGGCTCTTCTATTGTTAGAATATCAAGCTTGTAACAGTAGAAGAACCCTTTTTGGTGCCGCTTAGAACCTTTTTTAAAAAGGTTCTATGAGGAACCATCTTCAGTACATTCTCCATCACCCTGAAGAACCCTTTCACACCCCAAGGAACCCTTTAATCATGCAAAGGGTTCTTTGAGAGTTCAAGGTTCTGTATATAATCATTTTCATTATTAAAGAACCCTTGAAGAACCAGCTTTTTTAAAGAGTGTATTCTTAGGTTATAGAAGTGTGTAAGTAAACTTTGGGCCTGCCGGTGGGCCGTGACCATTAAGGGGTTAAATGGCTGCCTTATTGAATTGTCAAAGCATGGTCTTAATCATCATTTTTTCAGTATTAATATCAATAATTCTCATATTGAAATCGCCTTGTGTTGATGTGTTGTTAACATTGGTCCTTTTACTGCTAGAACATTTTATAGTTATCATATTAGTGCTGCTAATAATTCATGAAAACTAGTAGCCACCTAGTCTCATAGGGTGAGTTGTGACCTCACAACAAGAGGGGAGACAGCCAGGAGAAATTTTGGGTGTTAACGTAAACATTCCTGAGACTTATTAACAGAACAGACTGAGTGAGACATTTCTAAACCAATCCAACACCTCGTGAAGGAGGAGCTCAAAGTAGGGGGTGATGGTGTAAACATTGCTCAACTGACAACAAGCCTGTTGTTAGCCTGTGGATGCATGGCTGGAAAATCCCCCCAAAAAACTCAACTCAAAGATAAACATTACCTTCTGCAGGGGAAAACAGCTCTGTTAGCTAACGATAGCTCGACTAGTTAGCTTTGTTTGTGTTATTGATTGTACTCAAAAGAGCAGGGACCGGCAGTACTTGGGGGTGGGTTTTAGGGGCGGTGTACGCTTGTTTGCAGTCCAGCACCAAAAGTTTAACAGGTTGTCTTCAGACGTGTATTCTTGTTGCTGGATCATGTCTCTCCCCACGAGACTAGTAACTACCAACTAGCAAGTAGCATAAAGCTAACTGGTGGCTTTAATTCAGTGTTACAGCCAATGTACCCTTAAAAACGCTCTCAGTTGCTTTTTTGTATTGGTCTATTGAACCTCTTTAGCTGTGTGAGACCTCATGGCCTTGTTCTGTGTGTGTGTGTGTGTGTGTGTGTGTGTCCGACTTCATGCTCTGAGCGTGTGGAATGTGACCCGTCTGAATGGCATGTCATTGACAATCCAGAGCGAGCAAATTTCCACTTCTCGCGCCGCATGCTTTCTGAAAGGACGCTCAGCACTCTGCTTCTTTAAACCGCAGACCACCACCCTAAATCTAACTGACGGAAATAGCCCTCAGAAGCAGCCCTTAGTCAGCAAGAGCCCAGCGGCCTACGAAATTGCTTGCTCAAGAGTTTTAATGTGAACCACAAAAATGATGTCCTCTCTGGTATTTCATTAGATGTTCAGTTTACTATTTTATATATCGCTGCTGTCAGATGAAAACCTTGTATCTCCATTTTTGTCGTTTTTTCAGTTTTTGACATCATTTGAAAATACCTGTGGTCCCTTACATTGTATATAAATTTCATGATGATTGGACTAAAAGAAATGACCCAAAATAACCTGGGGGCAAAAAAGTCTGGTTCCATTGACTTACATTAAAAGTAAAGTATGTTTTTTCCTTCTCCTGTAAAGTTACCATTTTGGAGATACGAGGTTTTCTTCTGATAACAGCAGGAATGGCAGTTCATGGTGAACCTATTATTAAGTCCAGGCAACTAAAGAATAATTAGAGATGCACAATAATATCAGAATCAGATTGGTATTGGTAGATATTTGCTTTAAAAAAAATCGGCTGGTATTTAAAAAAACATTAACTGTTATTTCAAACTGATATTTTGTGTTATATTTATTGAACTCTAGAAGAGCAGAATGCTTTAGGTGATGCTGTGCTACTGCACTAAATGTCTGCGTTTTATTGATTTTTCTGCATTTGTTAGCATCTATACATACAGTTGTATGCAAAAGTTTGGATAGTTTCTTGGTTAAATGGCATGTTTTGTTGATTTAAAGTATGTTGACATCTGAAGAGAACACATTCTGCACATTTTAATGCACAGTTACTGCTTAATTGCTGAATTTAACATATTGGAAAAAAGTAAAACATAAAATGTATAAAGCAAAAATTATGACAGATGTTTTTTTTCCCAATATGTTAACATCAGCAAATAAATAGAAAGTGTGCAAAAATGTGCAGAAAAATGCTGCACTTAAGCTCCCTGTAGAGGATCTCACCAGGGGTGTTTGAATTTTTGCATACAATTGTGTCATATTTTTCTGCAGTGCTAATCCAGGTAGATGTAGTCCTGGTTTCAATTCTTTGTAAATGTTTATGTATCTGCATTGACTGATATGTACATGAAAAATATCAGATATTGGCCCAAAACATCCGTATTGGTGCATTACTGAGAATAGTTATTTAATCTTCGTAGCACTGTGAAACTGGCCCCCAAAATGAGCTCTTTTCTACTGCAGAGAGTCGCGGGCCGTGAGGAGAAATCCTTTGCTTTAGACGGTGAGAGTTTGAGCTTTAGCTGAAGAGCTAAATGAAAAGCCGTAAGAGTCTTAAACTATAAGCGAGTGGATTTGCTCGGGCCTGTGCGCTGTGGTATCTGTCTGTTTGGCTGAGACTCTGAATCCCTATTAAATGCTTCAGTGCACAGCTAAGCCTGGGTTCCCTCGTCAACTGACATGCTCTGACCACACCTCTTTCTCTCACACAGAACACACACACACAAACTCTGACAGGGTTCTCCAACCCTGCTGGTCAGTTTACTGGTTTATAGCGGTTTAAAATTCTCCTGACAATGATTGTTTGCCATTCCGTAGGAATGCAGTGCATCTTAAAATCTCAGATTTCTCCACTATTTGATTGTTTTTGTACAATTCAAAATTGTGTAAAGAATATACTAATGGAACACAGTAGTGCAAGATAGACTATGTAACAAATACACCAAGGTTTTGTTCGATTTTGTGTTTGTAAACAGCCTGAGAAGCCATTTTAGCCAAAAACGGATTGATAATAATCGATTATTATTGATGTAACTGATTGAAGCTTCCAGAACTAATGCAGTTGAACAGCCCTAGTCAGAGGGTGTTTTCGCATATAATTCTTTTTAAATGAACTGAACTCAGTTCTTTTAATGTAAACCTCAAAGGGAGCCAGCAACAAATGATTTCCATAATTTTTCTGTTCTCAATGTAAGCAAACTTTAAAGGGGACTTCCATTTTTGGTCCTCAGACTGCTTGTTGTTTACACTCTTTTAGAGATCAGATCCCACTGGGGTAATGCTGAATTATGGGTAATATGGGTTTTTATATCACTGTTGTCAGAACAAAACCTCATATCTCCAAAATTGTAACTTACTTTACTTTTAATGTAAGTCAAAGGAACCAGACTTTTTTCCAAGTAATTGTGGGTCATTTCTTTTGGTCTGTTCATCATGAATTTTACACACAGTGTAAAGTTTTCAATGTTTAGATGTTTTTAAATGTTTAAATGTTTTCAAATGATGTTTAAATGTTTTCAAATGATGAACTGAAAAATGACAAAAATTCATATATATTGAACATTGTATTTTACTGCATTGTACTTACTTAAACTGTCTGTTGTATTGGGTGCTGCTGTGGCTTAAAAGTTATAGGCCATTTGAGGCCGCGATTTTACCACAGGTAGGCGGTTTAATGTTTCACATCCATACTTAGCATGATCCTTTAACCAAGACCACTGTAACACAGACCTCTCATGGTTTATTGCTTGTCTCATAACAGAAAACATGTCTAGACTAATTGGCTACATTTGGAATGAGGGGAAAATTATGTACATTTGATTTTCAGCTGTGCAGTGTAGTGGCCCTATGGGTCTGGAATTAGTTAGCTCTGCTTCATGTTGCACTGTACAGAGCCGGTATGCTGTATGTTTGTGTGCAGGTGCTGCTGGTCCTCACCACATTTCAGGTGCCTTTCTTCATGATCCGCTTCGGCCAGTCCAAACTGTACCGAAGGTAAGAGTATGAATAAGCTCTGGGGACACACAGAGTCCCTTTTACACAACCCTCACAAAAACCCTTTACGCTACATGACTTCAGCAGTTTTCCATCAGTCTTTTGAACTGAAGCTTGTTGTCATTTAGAGAACCGCAAGCTTATGACAATGAAATTGAGGCAAAAAGCTGTTGTAGGCTATTTACCCCTTTGAACTCTAAAGCCTTCAAAATACTCTTATTTCTTATTTATTTGTTATTAATCTAGGGTTAGACTTATTGTTCAGTATCTACTGTAAATTCAATAATTCATTTATTAGATCTTTTCTATAAAACTGTGTGAGTTCTGAGAGTGAGTGAGTGTGTGGGCACATACAGGCCCTTACGGTTTAAGGGATTAAACAATAAATAGTATTTATGAATAATCCTTCATTCTTTATTGTTTATTAATTATAACTCTGTGTCCTGTCCCGTGGGTCAGCGAAGACTATGGAAAGTCCTTCCAGGATGTTACGGACCTCATCAACAACACCTTCATCCAGACTGAGTTTGGCATTGCCATTGGCCCAGAGAACTCTGGGAAGGTGAGGGTTAGATATTTTCATGGCTTAAATATCTATTAAGTTTTTAAGCTTGTCTGTTGGTGGTATGAACTTATGTGCTCCACTGCTCAGTTCAAAGCGATCAATTAGAGGTTTTCAATGAAAGGTTCAGTGTGTAGTCTGAAAGCTTTGGGGGGTGGGAAAGGTCCAGACATGTCATTTTGCATCTCCACTCTTCTAGGTTATCCTCACAGGTGACGTGTCTGAAGGGAGGGGCGCACGGATCTTCCGCTCGCTGGATTTCGGGAAGAGTTTTATTCCCTCTGACCTTCCCTTCCAACCTATAATGCAGATTGCTTACAACCCGGAAAACAGCAGCATACTCACTGCCATCAGCATCGCAGTAAGAACAACAACTGTTCAATAAATAAAATGCTTTATTGGTGCGATCATAAAAACTTGCATCTCTATAGGAGAAGGAAAGACATTTTGATGTATGTTAGCGCAATAAGATTTTATTCAAAGTGATTTTGGACCATTCTTATTGGTCCATTTGTCATAAGGTGTTTACATAATGAAATGGGCAGCTGGTGTTTTCAAATGATATCAAGAAATAAGAAAAAAATTAAAGTAAAGAGAATATCACACAGAGGATATGCACTGTAATCTCCAGTATCAGCAGATGATTTGAAGAATTTTTAATTCTGTGATCAGAAGCATAATCTTCAGCATGTTTTGCAAGCTGTGCCAGTGACTTTTTGAAGCTTGAAACTTTTAAACTTGCATTAAAGACTTTCTTTTTTAGTAAATCTTACCATACTTAATCTTACCTAACATCTCCCCAGCAATAGTAGATGCAATAGAAAGAAGTTGCACACATTCCGATTATAGATTAAGACTGAGTTGTTTATGCTCACTCTACTCAACAGTCTGATGAAAATCTCCGTTTACATGCTCACTACAAGTAATCCGATCCAAAATGACACACATGCGTGGAGAACTGCTTAGAGTAAACGTCACCATGACAGCGTACCAGAGGTACAGTCAGAGTGAGATGAGTTTTCAGTTGGTGCGCTTGTGTTTTGAATTGCTTTAAAATGATATCAGACTCAGGAAAACGTCCTTCACGTGTCCTTATTAAAGAAGGCCGTCGTGTTCTGAGACACGTAAGCTGGACGTCCGTCCCACCGCCGTCTTAAAGATCAGAGCATAAACTTCGTCTCCTCTGCAGACCAGTTTCTGCTCCGCCATGTTGAACGTTATAAACTTTCACTATGACGTGATGCACATGATCAGAACCGACTTAAACTTTCCGATTGGGAATGTAATCAGATACAGGCTTTCACACGGATATTATTCTTCTATTTAACAGATTATTTACAGGATTACCCACCTCATTCAATCGGATAGAAATTGTATTCCGAATGGCCTCAACCAGACTAGTCTATTCCGATTGAGGTGTTTACATGGACGTATTCTGTTCCGATTGAGCTATTAGTCGAATTATTAAGGGATTATTAGGCTGCATGTAAACGTGGCTATTATATAAAAGATGCTCCATGGTGCCTTTATTGTTGGGTGCACTGTGATAGTTAATGAGCGAGTGTGTGCAAACATTCAGAATGCAATTCACGTTGCTGTGGAAATGTTATTATTGATCAGAGCAAAAATTAAAAGCTCCTGAAGTGTGAATAATATTCCTGTATTCTTATGTATTTGTTAAATAAAAAGCTTTTGACTTTACTAGATCTCGTTCTTTACGTATCAAATAGATGCAACAGCAGTGTTAACAGAGAAGAGTACATTAGCCAATAGAAGCAGACGTGTCTTAAAGGGTTAATATACATTAACCTTAATTAATTCATAGTAAGAGTCTGAGCATTTGGGTGGTTTACAGTGGAACTTTCTCTTTCTGACACAGTATGACCTGTGGCTGTCTACTGATTTTGGACACAGCTGGAAGAAGATTCATGACACAGTTTGTTTGGTGAAATGGTAAGCCCACAAGCACAAAACTTAAAGGGGAATTGCCGCAATATTTCGAGTTTTATGTGTAATTTGGCCTTTAAGATGTAAACAAAGTCATTTGGAGAGGTTTGAAGTGAAATGCTCCGTTTTAGAGAAACTTACCGAGTCAGAATTTTTCAGAGTGGTGGTGATAGGAACCAGACGTCTGAAGAGTTTAATGCCTCTAAAAGCTCTCCCACCAAAAGCTGTTACATTAAATGGTTAGAAATACGCTGTCTTATGTCTGAGACATTGTTTATATTAAGACACCTTGTGTCTTACATTTGATAGCTTCATGCACAAACGTTGACATTTACTTTGATTTATAGTTCTAGCCTATTTAAGCTGTATTAGTAAAAGGGCATTGTACCTTTGCAGACCGCTGACAGTGGCACAGCAATTTTTTGAACAAATGCTTCCTGTTTTATTCATGTTTGGCTTTGGTGTTTCTGAAGCTTCAAATTCAAAATATATCAATAGAATCAACAAACTAAGCAGTGATTGGAGGACTAAGAAAAAGTTTGTCAAATACAACAATAGAGTCAAATCAAATTTCATCATTTTGAATAGGAATTCCACAGTTTTGTCAAAAGTTCTGCATGACTAAATGGTTAAGTAAACAGAGTCATTCAGAGTGGTTTGGTGTGAAATGCCCTGTTCTAGAGAAACTTACCGACTCATTGTTCACAGTGGTGGTGATAGGAACGAGTTGCATGAAGAGTTTATTGCCTTTAACTGCTTCCCTACAGAAAGCTATTACACTAAGTGGCTGTGAATACACTGCCTGATGACTGACAGTGTTTTAGTTCTAAAAGAAGCTAAAATGTAGGTTCACTGGCTGATTTGGATAATAAATAAAGTGGCTATATTTGCGCTATATTATAATTTCCCATCAAACCACTGTAAATAACTTTTTTTTTTAACATCTCAACCACTTAACGATTCAGAAATTTTGAAAAACTGGTGGAGTTATCATTAAAAATTTAGCTTAACCTCTTAAATGGCCAGGGCGCAAAGGTTTGTTACACATTTCTACAACCTAAGAATAGCTCAGCTAGTTTGCACTGAAGTCCCTGTAGTTGCTGAAAAATAAGCCTTTGTATGTAATAAGCCTGGGATTTCAAGGGGTTAAGGCTGTTTCTCAGCACTTGATTGGGTGGGCTTGTGGGTGGGTCAATAGCCAGGATACCATGACAACAAACCTGTGTGGAATGGAAAAATTACATTATAAACGGGTGACAGAGATTTTAGATTAACGTTTTCTGTTCCGGAACAGTTAAGGATGATTATTTTATCAGTTACGTTTTCATGTTTCATGTTTCCTGTTTCGTTTGTTCCTTGGACCCTGTTAGCGATTCAGTCAGCTGTGTGTGTGTCCTAGTTTTGAAAGGGTTAATGATGTTTTGTGATGTTATGTATCGGTGTGTAATTTCAGGGGCAGTGCTGACACTCTGTTCTTCACTTCAAACCCCAATGGATCTTGCAGTAAGTGACTTATTTTCATATCACCAACCTGAATGTAATATTTCAGTCATTGCAAGTGATGCAGTACAGCAAATCGCTGCTGTCGGAGGAAAACCTCCTGTCTCCATTTTTGTTGTTTTTCAGTTTTTGACATAATTTGAAAATGCCTGTGGCCCTTTAAGTTGTGTGTAAATTTCATAAAGAATAAACTAAAAGAAATGACCCAAAATGACATGGCAAAAAAGTCTGGTTCCATTGACTTACATTAAAAGTAAAGTAGGTTTTTTCCTTCTCCTGTAAAGTTACCATTTCGGAGATACGAGCTTTTCTTCCGACAACAGTTTAATGAACAGTTGTTCCAGAATAATGAGCTCATGTGTACTGTTCTTGTGTAAGGTGACAAGGGTATGCTGGAACTGAGGAAGACCTTGGACTATGGCCAAAGCTTTAAGACTATAGGGAGCAGGATCTACTCCTTTGGGCTGGGAGGTCGCTTTATTTTCGCCTCAGTCATGTCTGCCACGGTACGTTCATGTAACTCTGTTTTTGTGTAAGTGTTGTATAGAATCGATCACAGCTCTTACTCTCTTGTCCTCTCTCTGTGTCAGGGTTCAACACGTATGATCCATGTGTCAGTGGATAAGGGTGAGGTGTGGAACATGGCCCAGCTGCCCACGGTGGGACACGAGCAGTTTTACTCCATCCTGGCCGCCAATGACGACATGGTATTCATGCATGTGGACGAACCTGGAGGTGAGTCACGACTAAGTACAGCCGCATACTTCAGTAGAATGAAGAAAGGGGCCCAGGCACTGAGAATAGGCAATATGGCAGAAATATCATAATAATTTGACATTTCTACGATATACACTGTATATCACAGTATTTCTTTATCTGACGTTTGAGAAGTATGAACAGATATAAAGCAAGACACATTAACTGAACTCTTTTCAATGGAACATGCATTTGTTCAGTCATGTGGAAGTACTGATGACACCTGTGATACCCTCAGAAAAGCTTTTCTTGAAAGATTAATTGATCAGTTAAAAGCTTAATTGATATAATTTATCACAATATTGTTGGGGTGGCTGCAATGACAATATGCTATCAGGTATTTCCTGTTTATGAAAGAAATGTTTATTCCATCATATGTTTTATCAGTAAATTAGTAAAATCTTTTTGTATTAGCTTCAGTTTTTTCATATATGCAATATCAGTGATGTTAGACCATCTGAGAGCATAAAAATGTGATGTTTTGCATTTATGTGTTGCGACAAGACTATAGAAGGTTTTGCTCAGTCATATGCAAAAGTTTTGGTGAAATGACAGTTTTGTTGATTTTTTTAAATGAAAATAAGTACATAAGAAAATAAGTCCTCTATAGAGAACACACCTCTGCATGTTGTAATGCACAACTACTGTTTATTTGCTGAATTTAACATATTGTGAAAAAATAAAACATGAAATGAGGCCTGTACAAAAGTTTACATGTAAAATTCAAAGCAAATAAATAGAAATTGTGCACTTACATGTGCAGAAAAATGGCGTCTAGTTCTCTGTATAGAATGTATTTACTTAGAAGATCAACAAAAAATGTAATTGTCAAAACATTTGACGTACGACTGTAAGTGTGACAGATTGTCCTTGGATATTCTGAAAGATGCTATTCATTGTTTTGATCTGACTACTCATTTTACCGGAGATTTAATTTCAGTTGCAGGCTATTCTTGAAAGGAGTAATGTATTTAATACGTAAGCAAAACAGCAAGATAATTTAAAAATGCACTTACTTCAAAATAGGTGTGACAGCCAGTTTGATAATGTAAGAATGTCATTATAATAAACCATGCATGTCCTAATTTCTCTACTGTCTGTGTTTCATTAGTGATATTTTGACCAGTTCACAGTTGATTCTGTCTCCCTGTCTGCAGACTCAGGGATGGGCACCATCTACGTGTCGGATGACCGAGGCATCGTGTTCTCCAAGTCACTTGAGCGCCATCTGTACACGTCCACAGGGGGCGACACTGACTTCACAAACGTCACGTCCCTTAGGGGGGTCTATATGACCAGTGTACTAGCTCAGGGTATGTGTGTGTTAACTCATTTCCTTTTTATGCAGGAGACAGAGACTGAAATCATATTCACACCAGCGAGAGGATCTTTCGCAAGTTTTTTCTTCATTATTTCTTTCTTTGATTTTTTAATATTTTATGTTTTTAGCAAGCTTATGGCCATTTTCATGGTCTCATGGTTGGGGTCTGTTCAGCCAGCTGCTCGGGCTTTCTGCACATTCTGCTGCTGTTCCCCCAGGAGAGGGGGGAGGGGTGGGATGCAAGGCTTAAGCAGAGAGGAACTGTATCACTTTTCGTCCCATTGACTCGAATATACATTTATATGTTGTTGCTGTCAGAACAAAAGCTTGTATCAACAAAATGGTAACTTTACAGGAGAAGGAAAAGTCCTTCCTAATCTAAGAAAGTTCATGTAATGCTTAAGCAATTGTACATGTTCTATTGCTTTTACACAACAGTTAAATAAATAAGAAATTAATAAACTGGGCCGTGAACGTGGCGTTTAATATGTTTTAATGTTAGCAATTCCTTCTGCCAAATTATAGTTCCTTAACAAGCAGCTTGTTACTACGTCAGAGTAACGAACTCCGCTCACACGCTGCACAGTCTGCTGTAAGCCTCACCTTTTGAAGTAGAGACTGAGCCATAAAACTGCCGCAATATCAAGTTCAGCTCAGTTTTGTCCATTTTTGCCAGATCAGTATTAATGTTGTTTTGTTCCAGCCAGTCTGTAAAGCATCTTACAGCCCATTTAGTTTGGCGAATGGTATTTGGTTCATTTCTGGCTGATTCCAGGTTGTTTAGCTGTTCTTCTGTCACAGCTGCCGACTGAAAAGCTGCTCAGTGGTGATGACAGTTTGGGAATTTAGTGTCGTCTCATCTTCAGAGTCTGACCAAATCGGCTGTCGGTCAAATGTGATCTTTAAAGTACCCATTTTCTGTTTCTGCACAAAGTAAGAAGTAAAAACGTTCAAATGGCTTGAGCGTCTCCTACAGCTGTCAAAGTCGTTGCTTAGCAACGGCATCTCAGCGGAGTGATACAGTGTTTGTGAAAAAAACGTGATGTTATGGCGAAATAACAGCACGGTTAGAACGCCTCTCAACCAATCAGCTTGCGTGGCTGAAACTAACTTGTATAATATGATATAATACTATTTTATTTTTGATTTTCTAGGCAAAAATATAATACAAGTTAATGTAATTAGTTTTTTATTAAGTAGTTGTGGACCATTTATTTTAGTCCATTCATCATGAAATTTTAACACGGCGTAAAGGACAGCTGGTGTTTTTCAAATAATGTCAAAAAAAAGAAAAACGACATGGACATAAACGGTTGTGTTCCAACTGTATGATCTTTGGATACAGCCAGTGCTTTCTAAATAGGCCATGATATGATCCAATCAGATGTCGTCATGCACAAAGAACGAAAAATTTCTTTTTTTGAAATTGAAATGGTTTGAAATTTCTTTGCACAGCATAAGAGCTTGGAAAAAAAGCCCAAAATCCTCACACCAAAACCGTGAGGGTTAGCAACCCTGTGAATTTACCCGGCACCAGATACTGAGCCTCTTGGCAAAAGAAAAAACTGTGATGACTACTAAGGAAGCAAATGAACACAGAGTTTAATACTTGACTTTGCGGTCTTGAGTAATTCATTTTTTATTGGCAAATAAACGAAACCGCATTCATTTTACAGTTTTACTTTAAAGTGGCCAAATAAAATGAGCCAAAAAGCTGTTTTTGAGCTTCATATCAGGCCATGTTGTACTAATTGTGCTTGTTTTTGCTTCCAGCATTTGCTAAAAAGGTCTGATTTGAGCTGATATGTGCTACTCTTGTCTTTGGCTGTGCAGATGGTTCTGTTCAGACCGTGGTGACGTTCGATCAGGGGGGGAAATGGAGACCCCTGCAGAAACCCTGGAATGGGGAATGTGACTCTACCACAGGGGATCCTGACAGGGTGAGGGCCCTTACAAATACACACACGCGCACACACACACACGTGTACACTAAACCAAGTTTAACTAATGCACATCAGCTTTATGCACACTGAAAAAAGTGGTGAGCTGTATGATTTCTGATCTGACTCACCTAATTCTGCTTCTTTCTGGCATCGTTTCTTTGCTGCACGTTCATTAAGCTAAGCTAACGTTAGGTGTAAATGCAGCTACTGCATTTGGTGATATGCCTGGTGTGAAATTGTGTAGAATTGTGTAGAACTGAGGTGTAACCCCTGTCCCGTAGACTGCTGTAGGAGGGTAGGAGAGTCAGAGCACACATTACAGTTGCAGTGCATGCTGGGGACTGTAGAGAAGTGCATTGTGAAACAGGCTAATATTGATTTAAAATCCAAATACCTTTGTGGGCCGAATAGGATTGTGTCACGGGCCTGGGCTTTAGTCAAAGGATCCTGTTTACAGCCTAATGTGGCATCAATTATTTATGCTAATAAAGTCATTTTATTCAGTTTTTTTATTGTGTTTACGCTGAGAGTCAGGTACAGGCAGTGCCTGCTAGTATTCCCTTTTCACAACAATGTCCAATATAGAAATCTATTTTTTAAACCAGCATTTTAGTAATACTCCTAGTATTTTCACCATGGTAGCTAACTATATTAGCCTCAAGCTAGCGGGGTTAGCTTGGTGCTATTTGGGATTTTTATGTCAGCTCTAGTTTAAATTTGGACATTTGTAGCTCGTAACAGGCATTCTTTACTCTGTATGTCTCGAATTATGTCTCTTGGAACATAAAACCCACAAATTGGGGAAAATAAGGCCTCCATGTTTATAGTATTATTTATTTTCTGTTTGTGTTGGTTTGTCTTGTTATGTATGTACTGTTTTCAGAAAGACAAATCCGTAGTACTTGGCCAACAAAGTGATTCTGACTCTATCATTATGTGAACATGTGACTAATGGCCCAATAGAAATGGTTTAAAACAGGTCACCATTACAGAGATAGAAGGTTTTGTTATGACAGCCACGATATGCAAGCTTTATTTGCCTTCCTCTTTCTTCCCATACAAGGACAAAATGTGGCCAGAGTCAGTGCCATGCTTTTTGTTTATAGCTCACATCCCAGGCTTTACGAGAGCCAAACCTCCAGGCCTTTTGAAATATCGCTAGCAGTTCCCGCAGCTTGACACATGAGTCTCTAGGGACAGCGTTGATGTCAGTGCTGTCATTGCTGCTCTAATTCCCTTTTTATTTTCTTTCTTTTACAAACTGCTGAGTCATTAATTCAAACATGGAACATGTTGAACAGTTGTTGGTTTAGTAATTGTATGCAGATTCTGTGCTTTTATTGGTGTTATTGTTTTGTTTGTGTATTTTCTATTTTTGGATTGATCTCACAGAACAGAGCCAACTTACTTTAAAAAAGCAAAGAAGCAAGTAATCTGTGTTGAGTGTACTTGATCAGTTTGACACTTGTGTATGTGTGTTTGTTGCTGGTGATCCTACAGTGCAGTCTCCACATCCACGCCTCCTACAGCACCTCCATGATGCTCAATGTGCCGATGCTGCCGCTGACAGAACCCAACGCTGTCGGTCTCGTCCTTGCTCACGGTATCTGACCACGATACACACAACTGCAAACCACCAGTTGTTACGTTTGGATATTGCTGCCTTCAAGTTGTGTCGGAAATATCGCTTTTTTACGAGATGGATGCACGTGAACGCCACCGCAGTGTCAATATTTACTAGTGGGAAACTCAGATTTTTTTATTGAGACCTGAGTTTCAGAGTTGGGGGCGTGTCAACAAAAAAGTAATGATAGCTACTGATAAACTGGCTGTATGTTTAGTTATTCATCAGCCACAACCTTAACACTGCAGACTAAAACCATTCACACATGGAAATACAGGTATAAGCATGATATGTGATCCATCTAACTGCATAAAAATACATCCTCTGCTCTTCACTTTGTTGGAGTAATGCAAAATACACAGACTCTTTATAATGGCAGAAAAACAAAAGTAAACCAAAAACATTATTTCCGGTGTATCAATCTTATTTCCAGCTAAAACCACTTGAACACAAATTAAGTCGTACTTATGACCTGTGAAATCGTATGGAGGAACTTCCGAAGAGGACTTGAAGACAGCATTAGTTTCAACTATGCCAGATCAAATTGCGATCAAATACTACAAATAGCAATACTACGTAAGATTTGAACTTGTCTGGTGTGTAAAACTGTAGAATTCCTTTCAGTATTGTTACATTCATCCTATTGTCGTCACAGCTATCCTCATGAACTTCATTGTGAATGTTATTGTATAGTGCAACTCATAAATGATGTCTTTCTCTACAGTATTGAAAACAAAACAGCAAATTCTAGTCTTGTTTCTGCTGTTATTTGATTTAAAAAAAACAGCAGAATAACTTATACAGACATAGAAATTGACGACTACACTAGACTAGACTAGAGTACAACAGAACAGAGTATCTTTATTGTCATTGTACAAGTACAGTTAGTTTTGCTATCTCATAGTATAAAATATAAATATATATATATATATATCTAAGATAATTGTGCAGTAAACTTTAATACAGTGTACAGAACAGTAAAGCAGCTCTACAGCAGTTGTGTAAATACCCAATAGTGTAAACATCAGCATTGCTTAATAATAGACAGAGGTAGTGCAATTCAGTACTGGCCGTGCACAGAGCCAGCAGATGTAATGGAATGTAAACAACAATGCGGGTTTCATTGCTTAAGTGGTTACAGAGAACCGTTGTTCTTTTCTGTAACTTCCACTTCACTTTTTCATCAGGTGATACAGTCACTTAGAAATCAAGGCTTACGTTGCTGCGACTGGGATGGTGCAAATCCAGCAGTGGTCTTTGAGTGGCCTTACAAGCATCCAGTGTTGCTCTAGAGTAACTGCTGGTGCTTCTTCTGTGTTTGTCTCAACTCCACCATCTGTCTCCGCTCTTCTTTGCAGGCAGCGTAGGGAATGCTGTGTCAGTGTTGTCTCCTGATGTCTTCGTGTCTGATGATGGGGGATACACGTGGTCACGGGCGCTCAAGGGACCCCACCACTATGCCATCCTAGACTCTGGAGGACTGCTGGTAGCCGTTGAACACACCCCTGCCCAGCCCATCTATCAAATCAAGTAAGTCTGCCTGCCAGGCACATGCACAGATGGGCCAGAGAGGGGGACGTGAGCCCTTGCTCTTTTGCCCTCTGGGAATAGAGCTTGTAGCTGGGCTTACGTGCCTGCCTTTCTCTTTTCTCCTCTGACTTGAGCGCTGGAAAACACAGATAATTATATTCCATTATGTGGTTATTTTAAACTGCTTAAGATCCACCATAATGTGGCCAATTGGAGGTGTTAATAACTTGCCGCACAGAGTCTGTTTATTGTTAAAATAGGTATTTATACAGGACTCTGAGGAGCTCTCAAGTGGAGTAATCACAGCATAAACTTCGGTTATAAAATAGTACAGTGAGTAACGTGGCTTTGCACACAGGTCACTGGAGTTCAAGTTACTGCATAGATGTTTGTGTTTTTGGTTGCCTTTGTCAAAACTCATAACACTACTTTACAAAAAGGGGAAAAAAAAACAAAGTCCTAACTCAGGTTTATATTAGTATTGTCAGTGGCTAATGTCGCGTCGTAATTGTGCTGTGTTAGATGAAAAACTAAAGCCAATAATTCAGATTTCTGTCTTCTGCTTTGTCTTCTGATTATACGTCTCTCTGCAGAAATATTGCTTCATAACATTCTTTTAGGAACGTATTTAACTAATCATGCTGTATTTTGGTTGACTTTCGAAAGCATTTGTATTTACAAAGCTAATGTTTTTAATTTATTGTTTGTTCGGGTTTTTTCGGTATCAGGTTCTCCACAGACGAGGGCCAGTGTTGGCACGTGTTTAACTTCACAGATGAACCGATATACTTTACGGGATTGGCGTCTGAGCCTGGGGCTCGGTCCATGAACGTCAGCCTATGGGGTTACAGGGAGTCTATGCTAAGTCAGTACTGGGTGTCCGTCACCATCGACTTCAGGCAGCTTTTCTCCAGGGACTGTGAGTATATGTGGGTGTGAATATGTGAATATGCCTGTGTGGGTTTTAACATGTGCTTTGCAGTCATGTAAGGTGAGCTCTTTTTGGCCATCTGTCTCTGTTTGGAACTATTTAGAGATTATTCCAGCTGGGAACTTACTTATCAGTGTAGCATGTTTGTGTTTATACTGTTTCTGGATGCTTGAAATTCCTCATCCAGATAAGTGAGAGAGGTAAACATGGTGCAGGATTGGCTGTGACCTCAGCCAGGTCGCTCTCTGTCTCCCCCTGCAGGTGGTGAGGAGGATTACGTGCAGTGGCTGGCCCACTCTGATGACACCAGCGACCCGGCTGACGGCTGCTTGCTGGGATACAAAGAGAAGTTTCTGCGGTTACGGAAAGACTCCGTGTGCTGGAACGGACGTGATTATGTAATCACCAAGCAGCCCACGCCGTGTCTGTGCACGCTGAATGACTTCCAGTGGTGAGAGATTTGTCACATTTATGGGTCACATTGAAGTTTGCCAAGCAGCGTCTAAAAATCAAAGTCACTGTTTTTAATTGCTGTAGTGAAGCAACACATGTTGGCTCTTGGTGATTTCCAGAACTGCTCAGTTTCTCTTAAGCGCCACAACACATCATCAGCATTTTGCTATTAGTGCATTAAATTGAACCTAGAATGAGAACACAGTAAGCCATAGTAGATGTGGCTTTAGATAAACACTGAAAAAACATTCAGTCTTAAAATCTTTAAGATAATCAGACAAACTTTCTGGTCTGTTACCTCAGCTAACATTACTAGTCCTTTTTCAACCAGTGTCATTTAGCTTGAAAACCAAGTTTCTGATAAACTTAGATAGAACTAAACATGATAAATACAATAAATGATTTTTCGGTGGAAAGTTTTATTCCATTAAATCCATATGAGTGTAGTTTAAAATGAGCTTGGTGTTTATAGGCGCTCTAACTGCAGTGCATTCTGTGTGGTATAGCTGCACTTGGTATGTGCAGTGTAGCAAAGCTTTCTTACTTACTGTGCAGATAGAAACTATATTGGATTTTTAATACTGTTTTATTTACGTAAACGGAAAGCTCACCTTGGAGTTTCATTTATAATTAGGCCAAAACTCTGAAAAGTTGTTAAAGAGCCCATATCACGGGAAAAAACGAATTTCCCTCGCTTGTTTGGAATAAAGGATTTAATATGTAAACACTGTCAACGTTTTAAAACATACCATTCACTACCCAGTCCATACAGTCCATATAGGGAATCTAGGCTGCAAAAATAGTCAGTTTCATCGACGTCACAAGAACCCACCTTTCAGTCTACAGCAGTTTAGCCCTCACTATTCATATAGAAGTTACAAAGAGTGTTTCAGCTCTGAGTGCTTTGTGAATGAGGAACAATACAGAGCAGCCAATCGAAACAGAGCTTATATCAATCTAAAAGGCACAGTAACAAAACAGCCTGATTTAATTGAAAGGGGTAAAGAGAGGTTGGAAAATGGTCATGTAATAATGAATTAAGAACATTTTGGTACCTAAAAGCACACCGATGTTATAAATTGGGATACGAACACTTTTAATATTAATGTTGCTGGTTTTCTCTCAGTATAAATAATATTATAAATAAACACGTGGTATGTGTTAAGGCTTTGTTTGTATGATTTTGTTTCTCACTTTCCGTTTCCATTGTATCACGTTTTCCTTTTCTGTTTGTGTCCTGCAGTGACTTTGGATTCTACCGTGCGGAAAACAGCTCTGAATGTGTGGAACAGCCAGACCTGAAGGGCCACACGCTTGAGTTCTGTCTGCATGGCCGCAAGGAGCAGCTGCAGACCAGCGGGTACTGAAATTTGAGGCTGTACCCAACTTGGAATCATCTTGATCAGGCCTGATTACTAGGTTGACTATAGGTTTGAGTTAATACGTATTCTGTGTTGCTACAGTTACAGGAAGATCCCAGGGGACCGGTGTGAGGGAGGCACCATGCCGGAGAGGCGGGTGATCGACCTAAGCAAGAAGTGTGTCAGTAACCTGCTGAGACCAGAGCTGCTGGTGAGGGACCTTTTCTGTCTGATATTAGATACACAGCGTACCTTTAACTGCAGTCTGGAAATTAGAGGGGTTTTGACGCTAGTCAGGTTTTCTGGGTGAGCTTAATTTTGGTGTCTGTGTGCATACAGCCTATATGTAGTCAGTTTGTCTTTACTAGTCTTCCTTCTTCCTCTCTGCTCTTCCCCGTCTCAGTCGGAGGCTCATTCCGGCAGCTCGGCTCCAGTAATAGCTGTAGTCATCATTGTTCTGCTGATCAGTGCGGTGGCCGGGGTTCTGCTCATCAAGAAGTACGTCTGCGGAGGAAGGTCAGTTCACACACCCGTCAGTACCACTATAGACTGATTATTACTTTGCTCATTTTCTAGAAGAGTGTATTATTAGTCCTGATTAACTGGATTTACTGTAGTGCGCTATGTGAAAGGTTGAATAATAACGATTACAGTTGTTTATAGCAGTTTTTAAATGTGACTAAATAGGGTGATGCATAAATGTATCATTAAAAGAATCGTGATGTACTATTTTATCCGTGTTGCCCACCCCAAGCTGTCGGGTTACCTGTAAAATAAATAAAAATAAAAAGCCTGGAGACGAGACGGGGTGTGTGGAGTCAATACGACTTAGAAAATATCATTTCAGTGGATTATGGAACAGTTATGTTCCCTGACTAAAGGTACTGAGATGTACCCTTGAAGGTACCACCCCAGTGACAAGAGGGGAACTGCCCCAGTGACAGTTCAGTACCTTTATTTCTGACAGTGTAGAGTTAATCACTGTATGCTAATAAGGACTTCTTGTCTTATTTTCTCCTCTATGAACAATGTGTCAACATGTTATTTGTCAGAGAAATAGAAAATTTAGAGAAATTTCACTGTTTCGGGACTTAGCTAGCCTAGTTTGTGATACAGCCATCTCTCTGCCTTCTCCGTCATGTCATAACAATGCGTCCTTCCCAATATGCTCACGCCCAGGCACTCATGTTTTGGGAGCAGCAGAGTATACATACTCACAAATGTGGCCAAAACTGTCATATTTTACTTGTTGAACAAATCTTACATCTCAGTCCAGGACAGAGTGGTTTTCTGTAATTTTACTCTTATGATTAAGCAAAAATAAATTAAAATACTTCTGTGTGGTCAATAAAGTCAAGCAGCGAAATTTGATACTACAGATCAACAGTTCAGCCTCAGATACGAAGACATAAAGCACCTAAATCGGCTTATTCTACGTAAAACGGCAGTATTCATGCGTGTAATGTCACAGTTTTCCGCAAACATTTATATCAGTCCACTTTCAGATGCTGAAAATAGAGTTGTAAAAAATCTCAAAGACCTAAAGCTCTGTATTTGTTTGGACTGGAGGCGAAAACCCTAAAAACTAAAAATATCCTAGCTAGTGTGTGCGTTAGCCTACAGACAGCCTTGATAACTAGATAGCAGTTCAGACCAACAGTTTCAAAACTCAGCTCATCCTTTCAGCCAGCACTGCTTATTTTATTTGTTAAACTAAAGCCGTCAAATCACAGAATGTGCGGGAATCCCTCCAGGACCAGCGGTGCCCACCCCTGACTTAACCTTAGCTCTTCGTTATTATAGTTCTTCTTTTGTTTTTTTTTTTGAAGTTATTGGAATAATTTGATTGTTGTTTTATCCCTGTATGCAGGCCCACTCTTGTGGTCCTTACTTTCCTAGTTTCGTAGTAGTTATTGAATAATAATAATAATAATAATAATAATAATAATAATTGCTGATCATTTTTTCTCAGCAAATATCTACAGACACTGATATGATGCTGATTTTACAGTGCATCCCTAGTTAGTTTTATTCTTGATATTAAAAGCCATCTGTGTTTCCCTGTCAGGTTCCTGGTTCACCGCTACTCAGAGATGCAGAGGCACGTTGAGGCTAATGGCATTGAGGGAGTGGACGACCTGGACACCACAGAGGCAGGGAAGACGCATTATAATGACGACTCTGATGAGGTATCAAGAACTTAAAGCTAGGACTTGGCTTGAATAAATATACAGTTTACTTTTTCCAGAGTGGACTGGGTGTTTAACATGTCTTAATGCTGTATGAATGTTTTTTTTGTGTGTTTCTGTAGGATCTCCTGGCCTAAAATCGAGCAGGAAACTGTCAGGTAGAATCCTAACTCTTACTAGAGACTAACCGGGATGCCTACCCTTCCAGTGCCCTGCACCGGCCCCTCTGTGTCATCATTAATGTTACATTTCTTGCCTTCAGTGTTTTTTTTCCCCTCTTCTACTGTCTACATTCCCTGAGTGGTAGCAGTTAAACCCTGGCCTACTCAGCTTCCTGCATAAGTTCACCAAAGCTCTGGGGCTAAAAAAAAAAAAAACTGGACCGCTTTTCCGGAGGACTGGGAAATGAAAGGATAGACATTTCCCAGTGGGTCAGATCCAGCCACTGGACAGGAGCTCAGAGTTCTTGGCAGTATTTTTGTCTTGACAGTTTGATTTTTTTTATTTTTTATTATATGCCTGTTTTTTTTTTCTCCCCGTGTTTCATCTTTTGCAGGTGTGACACAGATGACTTGACTTGGTGGTTGTGGTTGTGGTTTGTGTGCATTGGAATCATCAGTTGTATAGCAGCAACTTCAGATTTTCTAGCACCTTTTGGTTCTCCTATATTCCTTAAGACACGAGGACTGGATTTTCAGTCACAAATTAGTCTTAGTTTCACAATAAAGGAATTTTCGATGGACAATCTCCATTAATAGTCTTTAGTCTGACTTGATCTGTATCCAGACAAACAGGCTATAAACGATGCTAATTTAAATACTAGTGACGGGTACAAATAATCAGATGGTGGTACTTATGAAATTGAAACAGTTACTGCAATAAGAAGACCAAATAAAACAACCTGCTTTCTAGCATTGTGGTCTTAAACTTGAGAGCTTACTCTTTTTGTTTTATGACAATTTCTATGTTAAACTGAACCTTTTTGATTGCTTCTCGCCAAATCAAGTGTTAGTATAGGGCAATAACAGTTCCGAAGACAAAGTAAAAGTACAAGGAACATTCGCCATTCGTGCCTTGCTGTTTGTAAAAAGGCTTAACAGTTTACGGTACTGTGCTGTAAATAGAAGCATCTTTCTTAGCCTAGAAAGGATGCACTGTTTAGCAGTTTGGCTAAAATCAACTGATCTGATGATGAAACTGCAGTCTTGCTTTGAGAGATAGAACATGTATGTATGTTCTTTAATAGAGTTGTGCTTTTTTATGTTACTTTTCATTTCTTAGTTCCCTGTCCTATTACTTAATAGAGCTCTGAAGTCATGAGTCATTCTGTAATCTGGGTCTTGCCCACATTAGCAACTCCAGGTCTTAGTAGTTTTTCCCAATGGGGGAAATGAATGCTGTTTTCAAAGATCGCTGGCCTTTCACTCTGTGAATGTAAGACTGCTATTAAACCTCCAACTATAATATACACCGATAAGCCAAAACAGGACAATGTAATAATGACGCATGTCGAGGTCTGGGACTTAATCAAGTGTAAACAAACAGTCAGTTATCATAGATGATGTGCTGGATGTTGGCGTGAAGACCTAAGCAAGACCAGATCATTACGGCCAGATGACTGGGTCGTAGTGGTGGGCTTGTGTGGTGAGTACCTACCGGCTGTGGTCCGAGGAGGGACAAAGCACAAACCAGCGACTACAACAAGGGCTATCCTGTCTGATCTACACCGACAGAAGAGTTACTGTGGTCACAGATTTTTTTTTTTTACCAGTTTTCTCCACAATTTAGTCATATCCAATTCCACCCACTAGTTAGGACCCCCAATCACATGATACTACCAGCACTTCCACCGAGACCTATGAAGCACCACCGCTAACCCGTCATTGGACAGCTGAACACGCTCGGAGGAAAGCGCCAACTGCCAGATCTAACAGACGCCTACACTGACTAGCATCACGATGAGTGATGTGGGGGAAGAAGGGGGGCCATCCTACCCACCCAGAGAGAGTAAGGCCAATTGTGCTCCCTTGGGCTTCCGGCCACGGATGGCTATAGCATCACCAGGGATCGAACTTGCGTTCTTGCAGCGATAGGGCCAACGCTTAAGACGGTTGAGCCACTCGTGAGCCTGCTGCGGTCTGAGTGTCCATTTTAACTCTTGTCCGCCATAGCCAGCACATACAGTGGGCACATGAATGTCAGAACTGGACCTTGGAGCCTAGTTCGATTCCCAAGTCCCATTTTCTTTTACATTACTTAGACGGCCGGGTACATGTGCAGCGTTCATCTGGGGAAGTGATGGCACCAGGATATACTGCGGAAAGAAGACAAGCTGGTGGAGGGAGTATGACGCTCTGGGCAATGACTGCTTGTCCAGGCATTTATGTGGACCTCAGTTCGACTAATGCCACCAGGAGGACAAGGTACTCTCCATATACAACACGGCACCTTCGGAGGTCATACCTCTGCGAGTTGGGGCTGTTTTGATGGCAGGTGGTCATGTTTTGGCTCATCTGTGTATAAACCCTAATCGCCAAAGTAACTTTACCACACTTGACAAACTTTGCTGATATGCGTGTTAGATTATGGTGAGTTTGGGAATATTGTGATGCAGTAGTGGTAGCTTATATGTAGCAATACTTGTATTTTGACTACTCAACCTCACCGTTCAGAGAACCCAGAGGAGAGAAATGTATGAAGGCCAAAGCTTTGGAACATTTTTGCCCACTGGAAGGTGCAACAGTACCAGTTTTTGAAAATGTCATTCATTTTTCCCATAGAGAAATCTGCTTAGACCCAGAGTTCCTAATAAGGGCGTGAAATGACGAAACAACTTCAGAGGTCTCTGAGGGACATAGTGCGCCTGCACTGCAGTTCTTCACTGATGATCCAGCACACTTATCGTACTTAAAATAAGCTGAGATTTGCTGAGAAATTGTGCACTGAAAAAAAAAAAAGCTCCTGATAGTATGATTGCAGGTTTTGGGATCATCGTGTGGTGACTGATAACAGCTACAGGTTAAGATTACATTACAATACAGAATAACGGGTTAAGGAAAGCAAGACTTCAGTTCCCACAGCCCTACTATATTTTTATTACACAAAGTCTAATGGGAGAGAAGATGCATCATTAATTATGATCATGCTAATAATAATAGCAATAGGTACATTTTAGATGATGACTGTTTAATCTTAACATCATTTAGTGTGTTTTGCAGTATTGCAGAACATCCCAGTGTATTATAATTTGCTGGTTAAATTGAAACCTGGTTAAGTTGTTTTACCTTTTAAGTTTTCATGGCAATAAAACGTTACAAAAGACCAATTTAATAATACAAGGGCTGAATGCCTTTGAATTTGACACTTCTGCCAGAACTTTTCAAAGGACATGCTGAACATGATGTGAACACAGTATTCCTTATGCACACCCTTACAAATACATACCTCAGGGGCCCTTATACTCCCGTTAGTTACGTCAAAATGTGATGGGGAAAAGCTAGAGGGTTTAAGTGGTTGATTGCTGGATCTTTTTGGCTTTACTAAAACCAGCTATAATGCTTTGTATGACAGCGTAGAGGTACTGGGATGCAAAAAGAACAATCGACAGCATCCAGCTTTTGAATGTAAAGGGAGTCGGAGTGAATAGCAACATTGTTTCCAATGCTGTAAATAAAATGTTAACAGTAAGCTACTACTGTCCGTTACTACATTTCATATGTTGACGCCGTTTGAGTTAGCATATTAAGTGTAGTTGTTCGTCCTCACTTGTTTTTCAATCAGAATAAAAACGTTTTATCCAGTTGTTGGGTTTCTTTCTAACTTGCCCTCCTTGACAGCTCAGAAATGGGGTTTTAAACAAACCCAAACAAGCTCTGAGATGTCGAAGGGGCCATATTTTACATTTTTCAAGTACCTTAACCCTTGTGTGGTGTTCAGGTCTGTGGGACCTATTTTCAATGTTTACCAGAAGAAAAAAATGATGTGATTTATTATTTCAACCTCAGATTTCTTGGCCTTTGTTCATTTTCTGTGAAGAACATATAAAATAACCCATTCTCAGTGTCTTCACTCTGTTCACCCCCCACACATTTATATTACACATGTGGTGTTGGGTGAACCTGCGGGGAGTAAAAGTGTGGAGGTGCTGTGTCCTTCACTCTGTTCTCCTCCTACACAGCCTGCTGTTAGTGTGTGTGTGTGTGTGTGTGTGTGTGTGTGAGGGTGGACAACATGGACAGGCTGCTGACTGGCTACAGCTGCTAAAGGAGAACTCTACCCTGGACACTTGTGATATTTTAAACCTCTGGTATTTTTACATAAACTGTTCTGGCTGTGTTGATTTAATTAAACAATAATGTGGTGGGTCCACCAGACCACTGAGTAACAAACACATCAACACCACACAAGAGTTCATTTTTTTCCCCAGAAATCCACTTAACATTTGTGTGTATGAAACAGTCATAATTAATTTTATGGTTGAAAATCACAAAAAATAAGCCAACAAATGCATTTTTATATTAAACACTGTAGTGCAAACAGCTCTTCTTTAATACAAAAGAATCAAGAGGCGTGGCCATTGTGTAGGGGGGTGCGGTCATATTCAAGCAATCTCAGAAACAGCCTTCAGGCAAATAGACAAATCACCGCACCATCTTTTGCACTGACTATGACAATAAAGTGTTTTTCGTCTGTTGATCAAATCCACATGCAATAAACACGCGTGATTGTATTACAATGTCCTTTTCACAATTTGCCTGTAAACTGAAATGGTAAGAACGCTAAAGGCACGCTGACCCACCGGTCCCCAACAAACCACAGCTTTATGATATTGGCTGTTTGTATTATACTGTTCCAGAAAAAGAACTGTCCAGCCAAATCAACCAGCATAAATGGTGAAGAACGTTCTAGAACAGTGAGAATAGTGAGGAACTCTTGTGTAAATACAGCTCTGTGAAGATAAGGACAGTGTGAAAGATGTAGAACTTTCTAGAGCAGTGAATGGAGAGAACATTGCAGAACAGCGTGAATCTGGATTAGTTTGGGTCTTCAGTTCCCAAACGATTATTATTAAGTTAATTTAAAAGGTAAGGTGATGTAGCACAGTGGCTACTTCTTTTGTAGAACTTTTTGCAGGTGTGTGTATATATATATATATATATATATATATATATATATATATATACACACACACACACACAGTACGTGATTATACATTGCTGTTGTTGGAAGAAAACCTCGTATCTCCAAAATGGTAACTTCACAGGAGAAGGAAAAAACCTACTTTACTTTTAATGTAAGTCAATGGAACCAGACTTTTTGTCCAAGTCATTTTGGGTCATTTCTTTTAGTCCAATCATCATGAAATTTCCACTCAATGTAAAGGGCAACAGGTATTTTCAAATTATGTCAAAAACTGAAAAACGACAAAAATGGAGATAATGGAGACGGGTCTCCTTCCAACAACAGCGATATATATATATAATCACCTACTGTCCTATGTTTTTTGGAATTGGGTTTGTAGAACGTTCTCTGTCTTTCACACTTTTCTAAAGCACCCCTATTCACACTGTTCTGAACCTGCTCTAGACATTCCAGGCCAGTATGAAAGGAGGAAAACACCCTAGAACAGTGGGCCTCATTCACCCAGCGTTTTTATGAATAAATTTCTTCCTAACACCCTTTATGAAGTTTTGACGAAGATTCTAACATTCACCAGTGTTTTCTTATTTGGGATTTGTTTCAAGATAAGAACAGAATCTACAAGCACAAAGGTGTGAAACGTTTTGCAGTTTAAGAACACGTCATGAATCTGACGTTGACTTTATCTTAGAACCTTTCTCAAGAACAAATTCAAGAAAAGCTTAGAAAGATATCGGTGAATGAGGCCCAACATCTTTTAACTTGTTTTCTTTTAAATGATACGGCGAATCATGCATAATATGACAAAAAACATGAATTAAAAAGGCACAAAAAGGTATATTTTGTTTTGTTGAATTTAAAAAACAACTGTCTTAAAAGGCAAAAAACAAGTTTATACTAAGACAGTTTTCGTGACACAGTTGACAGTCAATGTGCAGAGGTTTGTTAAAGAGCAGTGTGATTACATATACATGAACAGAAGCATGTATTAGTGCTGTTTAGTGTTTAGATACTGAATAAGAAAGAGGCCTTTAGATAAGCCAGACTGTCCCCTCTTTGAATGACAAGTGTCTCCGAGGGTGTGGCTGTTTCTAAATTCGAACCTGGCTTGTATGTTTCTTTGCCAGGCAACTAAGATAGCATTCCCACAACATTCTGAAAGAACTGTGTTTATATATAGATGCACATCCAAATGCCATGTCCGTACCCTTGAGATGTGGTCAGAACTGGACCACTGCATTAGAACCAGGCTTGAATATGCCTGATTTGTCACTTTAGACACTTTAGACTAGAACCAAGGTGGATTTCCTTGTCTTGATTTTTTTGTAGAAATTCTCAACAAACTGTCAGCTTTTGAAAATAAACGGCTATTAGGAACATATCTAAAGAACGATTAACAGGCCTGTAGTCGCTCTCATGAATGTCTTCTCCCTACCACTAGGGGGTGCCAGTCAGAAGAGCTACAGACGCTCAGATTACATGATTATGATAATTCTGTGCACCAATCTGGAGAGCAGTATGTCCCTGAAATGAGACGTGTTGATGCCCTGTTTTCCTGCTGATCCAGGATCAGCTTCACCTGTCCAGGTTCTAACCCTGGCTGTCCTAACAAAAGTGTCAAAACTGGTCTCAGAGCAGCAGAAACACGAGAGCGTCCACCAACAACCACTCACTGTAACAGCTCTTGTTAGCTCAATAGCCATGTATTAGCATAAGAATGGCGAGCCATATAAATAAGCCAGTAACAGTGAGGAACAATGTGTTCTTTTTCAAACAAGAGGTCCTTCAGTTGGTGAACACTTCAGTAGCTTGTGTACTGTGAGAAATGGAGTCCTTCATCTGAATTTAAGACAAAAGAGACCATGCAGGTGGACAAACCTTGCTAACTACCCTGCGCATCTCCTCACAACATCTGTAGCTGTACTGGACGAGGACAAATATCAGGTCAAATTTTATGAAGAGTGTCCACAGCACAGCAAAAGAGTGAAAAACAACTCGCTAAGTAGTGTTAACAGAAATAATACATAAACGGTGTGTAATAAGTAATGGAAGGGCTCATTACTCAAATTAGTGTGCAAAGTGCATTCCTAAATCATCACACACTTGCCTCAAACACTGTGGCACTATAACACACTGTTATCTATAAACGTGGCCACTAGTACTGACAAAATTCAGGCTTCTATTCATGAGTGTCGGTGGATTTATATATATATATGTAGGATGGGTGCCTTCCATGAGACTCCTGGTGTGGCTATCAGCATGGCCTGACGAAGGTACAAACGCCAGTAGTGGGTTGCTAATATTATGGGAGGCGCACGTCCTCCAGAAAAGGGACTTAATGTTGTTTTTGTTGTTGTTCACCATATATATATATCATGTTCAAGAAATGTTTACATGTTAGTTTTAGGTTATTTGTTATCTTCAGCATTTATTCACAGAGTTATTCTGCTGAGGACCCTTATTGTGAAGGGTGGGGCTAGTTCCACCCAGGGGGATATGTATGTGTGAGCAGAAAGAGCTGAGAGTCAGACATTAGCTGAGCAGCGAATGAACTGTTAGAGAAAAGAAAGCTTTGCTTATGTACGGCGTGGCTGTGGCAAACAACAGCTGGAAGATAAAGCTGTCTCTTTTAATAGTGCTACTGTTTCTTATTTATATATACTGGTATATATATATATATCGCTGTTGTCGGAAGAAAACCTCGTATCTCCATTTTTGTCGTTTTTTCAGTTTTTGACATAATTTGAAAATACATGTTACCCTTTTCATTGTGTGTAAATTTCATGAAGAATGGACCAAAAGAAATGGCCCATAGTTACTTGGAAAAAAGTCTGGTTCCATTGACTTACATTAAAAGTAAAGTAGGTTTTTTCCTTCTCCTGTAAAGTTACAATTTTGGAGATACAAGGTTTTCTTCCGACAACAGCGAAATATATTTCTATATATATCATACATTTATATGTAGGTATAACAGACATTTTTGTTCCTTTTGCAGGAAAACGTCTTTGTAATTTGATGCAAGATTATGAGAAAACTAGAATTTTGACTTGTAAAATTTTGTTGTGACATGATGAATCCTGTCTAATGAACTAAAAGTTTAAAGGGTACATTTTGATTTCTGCTTGACTTTAACTTCAGGCAGTGTAATGATTTAGACGTGTAGTTTGCACAATGCTAATTGCAGGGTACATGCTTCCGTTACTTTTTAGCTACAATAGCCTTGTAGCTACAGTGCTATACAAAAGAAGCAAACTTCAGACACTAAACATGTCTTAGAAATTGTGTATTTTTTTTGTGCTGAACTAAAGCTTTCAAAAAACACAACTGTACCTACCAACATGTATAGTATCCATCGCTACCATGCTCTTTGCTGTTAACACTAGCCCTGGAACAGCTGACAGTGGCTGTGTCTTGGCAGGTTCTAAAGCAGGGGGTTCCCAATCCCAGTTGTGGTGACCCCACACTATGCTAGTCTTTGTCTCATCGAGATTGGGAACTCCTGGGAACTTCCATTCATGCTTATTTATATAAACAACACTAATGTTGCATGTCCATTTATGTCTTTTTTTTTTACAGTTAACATATTCTCACTCCTCCACTAGTCCCCTCTGGCCTTCACACCTCCACAGAGGGAACGTTAGAGGTCCATCACCACATCCAGTGACTCTTTTCTGCTCTGTGTGGGAGTTTTCATTAAAAAACAGCATAGTCCTGGTGAGTCGTCCTCACTGGCGTGTGAGCTGCACGCTGATGCCTCTACAGCACTTGGCCACACTTTGGAAGAAAGGGAGGATGATGATGTCCAAAACGCTGCTCCATAGAGTCTCCAGCCAGCCAGTGTTAATGAGGATCACCTTTACACATGGAGAGAACAGCCTAGAGGAGAAGAAAGGAGGAGAGTGAGGCGTTCTCACCTGCAGATTTCAGAGTCTAAGGTCATCTGTGCTGTTTAAAAGGATTGTATCTGAGAATTTTTAGTGAGGAGAACTGCCACGCAATGATGTCTTCAGAGTGCACTTCAGAGACACTAGAGGGGGCACCTGAGCACCCGAGCAAGTCCAAAATGAATGAGGTGCTATAGAGCTGTTGTGCAAAATAGCAGTTTGTAAAAGTCACTTTTATACAGTAAAATGCACAAATTTTCTGAACACAGAACAGCATAAAATATTTCAACACTGCTTTTTTTGAGCGCTCAACTCTCAGTAGCAGTACTGCCAACCAATCAATGTTGAGTAGCAGTAATGCCAACCAGTCAGTGCTCAGTAGCAGTAATGCCAACCAATCAGCACTCAGTAGCAGTACTGCCAACCAATCAATGTTGAGTAGCAGTCATGCCAACCATTTAGCACTCATCAACTGTAATGCCAACCAATCAGCACTCAGTAGCAGTAATGCCAACCAATCAGTGCTCAGTAGCAGTAATGCTAACCAATCAGCCCTCAGTAGCAGTAATGCCAACCAGTCAGCACTCAGTAGCAGTAATGCCAACCAATCACCACTCAGTAGCAGTAATTACAACCAATCAGCACTCTGTAGCAGTAATTACAACCAATCACCACTCGGTAGCAGTAATGCCAACAAATCAGCACTCAGTAGCAGTAATGCTAACCAATCAGCACTCTGTAGCAGTAACGCCAACCAATCAGCACTCAGTAGCAGTAATGCTAACCAATCAGCACTCAGTAGCAGTAATACCAACCAATCAGCACTCAGTAGCAGTAATGCGAGCCAATCTGCACTCAGTAGCAGTAATGCCAACCGATCAGCGCTCAGTAGCAGTAATGCTGACCAATCAGCACTCAGTAGCAGTAATGCCAACCAATCAGCACTCAGTAGCAGTAATGCTGACCAATCAGCACTCAGTAGCAGTAATGCCAACCAATCAGCGCTCAGTAGCAGTAATGCTGACCAATCAGCACTCAGTAGCAGTAATCCTACTGAGTGCTGATTGGTTTCAAAACCAGCTTACAAGTTTACTTTTTCAAAACAAGAAATTCTTTTTACTGTATTTATATTAACTTGCATATATTATAATGATTTATGATGTTTTTACAAGCTCATATTATTTTTTTTTTTTAAGTGAGGAAACTTCTCGTTTCCATGATATGGGCTCTTTAAATCCTTTAATGGTCAGGACCTTCAACTCAGCCAGTTTACGCTGCTTACCATGTAGCTACTGCATAATAAGCCTTGCGTTGTTATAAGTCAAGGAATTTTGGGTGTTAAATTAAACACACCAGCATAAAAAGTAATAAACTACAAGTACCAGATGTGAAGGCAGCTGAGGACAGCAAAGAGAATTCCAGCGATGATGGAGACGGGCACGGCCAGCAGTGTGGTGATGATGCGGTAGAACCAGACCCGGGACACCTCGAAGAGCGCGTGACTCCAGATCCACACCCGATCTCCACTCCGCACCGACTCCGGCTCCGCTATCACGTCCTCAAAACTCACCTGACCAACACAGACCAGTTACACATCAGACAGGCTGCTTTAAGAGCGGATGGCTTTGCAGTGACACTGCAGTGTTATAACATGTCTTATAAGTAGTAATAGAAGGTTGTCTTCTCAAACATGAACTGACGTGAACAAATTTCAATCTGCCACAGATATAAACACAAAAGTGTTAAACGGAGACTGTACTTGTGATTGCAATCTAGTGCTTATTGTTATTCATATTTATTTGTGGTTATTGGTTCTTTGTGCACTGATGATCCCATAAGTCCAATATATATTTACAGTGTAACAGTGCCACTCTATTTATTGACAGTAAACAACGTTAAGACCACTGCCAATCTATTTCCCAAAGAATAAACCTACAGCTTGATTAAACATGGTTTGTGATGGAGAACTGCCGTGGACCGTACAGTCAAGATCAGGACTAGTGTGAAAATGATGATAGAGTTGCTGTGTTTTGAGGCCCAGTGACACTTTAGTTCATAACTGAATTAAGAATTACATTCATTTCAGTGGAGTTTGCAGCACTGAGAGATTTTGCATTGCAGATTTCTGGGCAGAATAAATTTTCCGTGAGAAGTTTCGTACCAAGTTTCACTTTGAACTTTGAACACTGACACACAAATTTGCATTCTCGACCAGTAGTGTTACTGCTTTAGCTGTGTTGACCTCTGAAGGGGCTTTTTATAGCCGCACTGAACCTCCGAAATGGAGGAAATGCTAAAGTAGCCACTGTCTAAGCTCAAATCTTTTACTATTTTTTTCCCGCTGTCAGTTATCTGTCACTTTTCTTGGGACAGATCAGAGCTGAGAGCTAGGCCTTCAGATCGGGCCATAAGTGTCAGAACGTGATCAAAAATTGAGAAAAACACCCACCTCTACAAATTGCTGATTTATGCTAGCACACCTACGGGATTCTAGTAGTATGTTAGCGCTAACCTAATGCTGCCACAAGAGGATATTTTTTGGCTGCTGTAGATTTGATGTGTATATTTGAAGCCTGTAAAAGACATCCCATGTGTTTTATTTCAAGTTTGTAACAGACATTAATATATGTTTTCCCTTACGCCGGGGTCACACTACACGGCTTTTACCCCGATTTTAGCCTCGATTCTCAGTGTGGCTGAGTCTGTGTTGGTTGGCTCTAGCCTGCAGATGTTTGGGTCAGTCGGAGGCGACAGTTGGAGAGGGAATCGAGTCATGTGTGAGGGAAGCAGACTCAGATTTTTTGCGTTTCAGACCAGTCAGAGTTTATCAAACATTTAGATTTTTTCGACCTGACTCTGAGCGAAATCTAGGTAAACTGGTCAACGACTCAATCTGATTGGACTCCTACAACAGCCAATGAAACGTGAGAGCACGAAAGAAGAAAATGCAGCAAGTAAACAAAGAAAAAAGGTGAAAAGTCTCACGTGTGGAGCGAAGCTTTTTAATAAGCGGAGTTTAAGGCACGAGCACAATTGAGTTTATGTACATTTAAATCTCATTTAAAAATAAAAACATTTAAAAAAAATTAAAACATTTAAAAATACCACATTGATCACATTTTTAAAACCATGAGCCCCACCTAAACCTGCTGCTTCTTTCCTGTGTCAGCGCAAACGGCAGAGAAAACAGCAGCAGCTGCGAGTCGCTTCATGTTTGTTTATTTGCGTCTCCTAGTAATGGGAGAACGCAAGAGATCGCGAGAGTTCAGTGAGCTCTGTTCGGTTCAGCAACAGCTTAAAAGTTGAGTACCGTGTGATGCCCCAGTCCTGACTTGGAGAACTGATCCCAGATGGGATTCCTCCTAATTTATTATTATTAACAGTTTTTGTTACAGTGACCGACTCTTACTCCTGAAGTGGGTTGTGAATGCAGGCTCTGGCACACAGCTCTATTTTTAATAAACGTAATTTAACTGATATTTTGCTAGACTGCTGCTCATGTTTACAGTCATGACATATCCAGAAGTAAAAGAGAACCTGGAGTGATGTTTCTCCTCTCTAAATTGGTCCCACTCAATGAAATCAAAACATAATTGGTTGATTCCACTGTCAGTTATTAATTATGTATGTAGTTAATCTAGAGTGTAAGGCCTTCAGTTCGGCTCCTGAAGTCCTAACCAATGGGAGCACTGTCTTGGCTGTGTCTGTTTAGATACCACATGTAAAAAGCTTGATTGGACAACTTTCTGTTGGGCATTTGAATATTTTTACCCTTTGGTGTCCAAAACAAAACCCCTAAGTATACAAACATGATTCCTTATAACAAAAATGAGTTAAAATTAGGGACATGTATTTTTTAACTTACTGAAATAATTCAGAGAAGATTTCCCCAATTCATTTTTCTATTGGACACAGTCTTCTGGTCTGAGACTAGTCATGAACTGAGCTTACAAGACAGCATGACTGCATGTGGGCAACAGCACACGCTACGCTGTACGCCACCAACTTCCGCCAACAAAACGCCCACTGAAACAGCTCTCAGCTCAACAGTGGTGCATTAGCATATGAAGGGAATGGGCTGTATAATTTGGTGCATTTTTCAAAAATGAGCTTATTTGTTTGGAGAATACTTTCGTGACTAATGCTCATCTAGTGACTAATACTGGCGAATACTTTAGAGCACATTTCACAGGTCAGATTTGCTAGTGTTTGCTCATTCGTTGCTGGTGTTGCAGATGAGATCATTGCTACTGTTATGAATAATGGATCATAAAATGGTTTGTGGAAATCAAATCCTGAGATTTCAAGCTTTCTAATGGTATATTGCTTCAACGTATTGCTGGACGATGCATAAAAAAGATGTATAAAATGATGTATGTAAAAAAACGGAAGTGAACGCTTTATCGGAAGTGTGTCGTAGTGATCTAGATAAGGTTAAATGTTGCCCCAAAAACTGCTTGCCTTAGTCACTTGCTGCTCCCCAGTCTCCCTATCAGGAGAAGTCAAGTAAAGTGTTACCCTTTATTGTTGTACAATGTTTTCTGAGCTGTTTGTGTTAGAGAGCTTGATGTTGTCACCGTTGCGGAAAAGTCTGTTCTGTGTGCTGCTAAAATTGTCTTTCCGAAATGAATCGAACACGTGTTGCACTCATCCTTCAACTGTCTGAAGCCACCAGCTGTCTGCAACACCAAGACAAAGGTTCTCATTTCCACTTAAAGCAGAGATATCTCGAGAGGAGCTATAGCGCTACATTCTGCCTGGTATTTAAATTCACTGCTACCTTAAATCTCCTGCCACCTTAAATCTATTGCTACCTTAAACCCACATCTTAATTTGGGGGGTTTCTTTTCCAAATTTCAGCAAACTTCAACCACTGAGATGTAAATAGAGTGATTTAGAATGGCTTGACATGAAATGGTGCATTGTAGAGAAACTTACTGACAGTGGTGGTGATGGGGACCAGGGGTCCCAGTGTCCATAATGCAAATATTACCATTTTATGTACTATTCAGTGAACCTACAGGTGTTTTGGGGGGCTATTATGGGGACTATTTGCCTCACAATGGCTTGCTTTTACTTCTCCACCACGAAAGCATCCGCATTAAGAAAACTTATCTCGAAGCTAACATAAAACGATGTCTCAGCCATCGGGTAGCAACAGCTCGCGTAATACCTCAGTGAGGTAGCTTTCAGATGCATTAAACCATCCGGTCATCTGGTTTCTGTCCTTTATAAGTAATTCTATCAAGTAAAATTATCTCACTATACTAGAAGATACTTTTGCTGGTTTCAAGCACATTTCTTAAAACAAGCACAATTATCTGCCAATATAGTGAGATAATTTTAACTTCATAAAATGACAAAACAAGTAAAAAATGTGTAGACATAGGGTAAATAATCTTACATTAAGCTTACAACAATCTCAAGAAATATTAGATTTATTGACTATAAGGTAATTTTACTTGACAAGATACCATTTTTTGCAGTGTGTGGTCAGGAGAAAACTGCAAATTTGACTTTTTGCTGAACTATCCCTCTTTAAAGACACAGGGAAGCTAAATCTGTGTTTTCCTTCTAATTAGGTTAAACTTGTTCTTGCAGGTAAACAGTAAGGATGTACTAAGTATGCCCTTTGAACGATGTTCCAATGACCAATAAATGACCGATATATTTTACCACATTACTCTCAATGTAAACTGGGCAGTCCTAATCTTGGGTAACTCTCCTGTAAGCATTCCCCTGACCAATCACAAGGCTGCGTCACTGGTCCCACCCACACAGAACAGCTTCAGCGTCAGAGAAACTTAGCGAGCTAAAGCTAACCCACAAACTAGCAAGCTAGACCACCTGACTAGCTGTCCGTTCGTTTGTTTATCCAACACCAACATTGTTCATTCGTCCGTTCCTTTATTCACGCGTTGCTTCATCTATCAATCCATCCGTCCATCTGTTCGTCCTTTTTTTTGTCCAGTTACCGACAAATAAAAGCTGGATAATGATTTTAGTTCCTAGTGGTGGAACAGGCTAGGAGTGTTGGACAGATAGCTGTCAATCAAGCTACTCATTAGCCACGCCCACCCAGTTCTCAGATAGCTCTGATCAGTGTGTGTTTTATCATATTTATATCTTATATTGTTCATTCAAGCATTGCTGGATGTTTAATACACTCAAGTTTAGTTTAAGTGTTATTAATATTTAATATTTTAATATTAATATTTGTTAATATTTTGCTCTCTGGGACTTTGAGTACCTTCAGGCATTCATTAATCTGCCGTGGGTCCCTCTCGTTGAGCAGTGGCCTGGTGTCGCTCTGCGTCGACACCACATCCTCCTCCTCCTCTTCCTCCATCACCGTCGCCAGCTGCGTCTTCCACGGCTGCTGACCCTCGCTGTCCTCGCTGTCGCCCTCGTCCCCCAGGTCAATCTCCGTCTCTACCCCGGCCGTGCTCCGCATCATGGTGCCGGTCATGAACCCAGCGGCCCCAGACCACCGACCAGACGTCTGGACACTCACAGGCGCCCAACCTCACATACAAACGGCGGCGCTCACTTTCAGATCCACTCCAAAGTGCACTGAGCTTCTGCTGCTGCGCCGCCCGAGCTGAGGGATATATTAGGAAAGTGAGCATGCTCTTATAAGAATTCCCCAACAGGCCCCCTTGGGGAGATCTGCACCCCCCCTTCTACAGGAGCTATAAATACCCCAGGATGGGCCACCACTTGTTCAATACAGCTCAACTCAGATCCATGACTGACTAACCATAAAACAACTTAAGTTATTCGCTTAACCTTTAAATTTCCCTGCGAAATTAAATAAGTATGTTTTATAAACCATCTCAAGGCAAAGGAACCTTGAACCAGCCTTTACAGCTCTTTTCTCTAATCTTCAGCATTGTTCAATGTAGTTTTATAATTGGTTATAGGTAAAGGGGAATTCCACCAAATTTTGAATATGTGTACATACAGTGGTTTGATGTGAAATGGTTCATTGTAGGAAAACTAACCAACTCTTTCTTTACAGTGGTGCTGAAAGGAACCAGGGGTCACAAACTTTACTGCACAAATAAAGCCTTTTTATTTACTATTGGAAAACCTATGTGTGTCTTCTGGCTGTTTATTTGTAGTCTTGATGATAAAATAGTGATAAAATCTGACAATAAATAAATAAATAAATACAATTCTGGTACTATTTTGGCTGCATGTAGTCCTACATTATTATTATGCTTTAGGCCAAAACCTTCTCAAAACTATAGTAAAACAATGTCTCAGATACCACAAGGCCCATTTATAACCACTGCATTTACAGTAACTTTCTGTAAGGAAGCTTTTAGAGGCATTGCGCTCCTCAGACGTCTGGTTCCTATCACCACCGCTGTAAACAATTGTGAGTGTGTGAGTTTCTCTAAAACAAAGCATTTCACATGAAAACCTCTGGAGCTCTGTTTACATAGTAACCATTTATTTGTGCAGAGATTTAGAAAAATCTGTGGAATTCCATTGTAAAGACACGTGTTACATTAGATGCACTTAAAACAAATGAAAAGTCTTATGAAACACTTAAAAAGTTTTTTGCACTTTAAGTTCTTAAAACTTAAAAAAAGGATTTTATGGAATTAGGAACAGTGAACCCCATACAAGGGTCAGTCCAGGGTAAGTGAGGGCAGAATGCTGAGTAATACTGGGCAGAGGTTATAAGGGATACAACCTTTTTTCCGGAATAACGCTGAGAGCGCTCCCAGACTCAACACTCCTACTGACTATTTCAGTGTAAAACAGTGGCTCAACATCAGTGATGATACACTATATAGACAAAAGTATTGGGACACCCCTCCTAATTATTGAGTTCAGGTGTTTCAGCCACACTCATTGCTAACAGGTGTATAAAATTAAGCACATAGCCTTGCAGTCTCGATAGACAAACACTGGCAGTAGAGGGTCGTACTGAAGAGCTCAGTGACTTTAAACATTTTACCAACTGTAAAGTTTGGTGGAGGAGGGATGATGCTATGGGGTTGTTTTTCAGGGGTTGGTCTAGAACCACTAGTTCCAGTGAAGGGAAATCTTAATGCTTCAGCAGACCAAGACATTTTGGGCAATTGTACACTTCCAACTTTGTGCGCACAGTTTGGGGAAGAACCTTTTCTGTTCCAGCATGACTGAAACCCAGTGCACAAAGCAAGGTCCATAAAGGCATGCCTGGGTGAGTTTGGTGTGGAAGAACTTGGCTGGCCCACACAGAGCCCTGACCTCAGCCCCTCTCATCTAACATCAATGTCTGACCTCTCAAATGCTCTTCTGGATGAATGGGCACAAATTCCCCACAGACATGCATCAAAATCTTGTAGAAAGCTTCCCAGAAGAGTGGAAGCTGTTAGAGCTGCAAATGGGGACCAACTCCATATTAATGCCTATGAATTTAGAATGGGAGTCATAAAAGCTCCTGTAGCTGTAATGTGTATGAGTCCTAATACTTTTGTCCATATAGTGTAGGTGTAATTTATTATGTACATACCCCTTGTCGAACTACATGTTTTGTTGATTTTCAAAGTGAAAATATGTGAACACGTCATCTACAGGGAATAAACCTAATTTTAGTACATAATTTTTATTTATTTGAGTTTAACATATGGGAAAATAATACGTAACCAATATAAAATGTGCTGTGACTTTTGCATAAGCCACATTTTATGTTTACTTTTGTTTAATAATGTCATTTGACCAGGGGTGCCAAAACCTTTCCATATGACTGTACTTCTACCCTGTATCTACACTCATTGTCCATTTTATCAGCTCCACTTACTATATAGGAGCACTTTGTAGTTCTACAGTTACAGACTGTAGTCCATCCTTCTCTGCATACTTTGTTAGCCCCCTTTTACCCTGTTCTTCAGTGGTCAGGATCAGGATCTATAGAAGTGAGTGTCATAACTGGACTGAGAACCACAAATATCCAGCGAACGGTGTCCTGAGGTCAGAAACTGACCACTGATGAAGGACTAGAGCAGCAGGAGTGAGCTATCATCACTAACTTTGCATTTACAAGGTGGATCAACAAGGTTGGAGTGTCTAATAGAGTGGACAGTGAATGGACACAGTGTTTAAAAACACCAGCAGCACTGCTGTGTCTGATCTACTCAGACCAGCACAACACACACTAATGCACCACCACCACGTCAGTGTTACTGCAGTGCTGAGAATGATCCACCTGCTCTGTGGTGGTCCTGTGTGGGTCCTGACCACTGAAGAACAGGGTAAAAGGGGGCTAACAAAGTATGCAGAGAAACAGACGGACTACAGTCTGTAACTGTAGAACTACAAAGTGCACCTATATAGTAAGTGGAGCTGATAAAATGGACAATGAGTGTAGGAACAAGTAAATAAAGTGTCCAGTGAGGGTATTTTCTATGGTCAGTCTACTCAGGTCAATGCAATTACAAACATAACAACACCTACTAATATCATTTAGCATAATGGAGCCACAGAAGGATGTTGTGGTGACACTGCAGGTGCTGGAAAAAGCATTACATGATGGCTAACGTGATAAATGGCTTAGCGATGGTTGCCGGCCTGTCAGCTCTTCATAAAGGCAAATGGCCACTCAGCGTCTCCGCTCCTGACCCAAAACACAAAGACCACTGTCCGCAGAGCCTAGCACAGAAAGAGGGGCTGATTACGTCACGCTCCAATGTCCTCGGGGACGGGATAATGTGGAAAATACTCCGCCATGTTCAGAGGATTTCGCAATATGCTTTTAAAGCTGTTCCTGACCAACCGCTGCAGCCATTAACAGATCATCCTTAACTTTCTATTTATAGCCCCTCCGGCCGGCTTAACGAGTAAATACGAGGAAATATTTCACTCTCACAGCTGCTGTATCCATGTATCTGTCTCTAATCTGTGCTTTGACATCCTTCCGTGTCAAAATGCTGTATTGACTTCATTACTTAATACTTCATACTTCAGTGAGGTCATATGTGACGTTACATCATCATGATTATTGGCAGAAGTATTTAATCTGAAAGGCAGACTAGTGTAAATGTAATACACTCACTGACCACTATATTAGGAACGCTATGCTAATACTGGGCAGGGCCTCACTTTCCTGTCATGTTGATGAAACCAGCTTGAGATGACTTTTGCTTTGTGACAGTGGTGCATTATCATGCTGGACGTTGCCATTAGAAGATGGTAAATTGTGGCATGAAAGGATACACATGGTCAGAAACAGCACTCAA